GGTTCAGCCCACCTCCATCTGGCAGGGGAGGAAGGCACTCAGCTCTGCTTTCGGATGGGCTTATTCTAACCAGCCTTTTCTTCTCCCCCTGTTTTTCTTTCTCAGACAGATTTCATGCTGACGGCATTCCAGCCCAACCCATCCCTTACTCCCAGGCTCCCATTCCCCATCGGACCAGTTCCCGTTCCCATGGTCATGCCGAGTGCTGATCCTCGGGCACTCTCCTTTCCTCTCCTGAACCCTGCGATCTCCAGGCCCAACCAGCCTTCCCCGCCGCTGCCTGCTTCCCAGGGAAGAAACAGCCCTGTAGTGGCATCGCTTATTGGCACGCACAGCCCTCACATGACCCCCGCTGCCTCCATCCCTCCTCCGCCAGGCCTGGGAGGAGTTAACGTCACTCCAGAGTTTCACAGGCTGCAGCCGGCTGATAAGCTGGAAAAGCTGCTGGAGAAGCTACTGACTCGGTTTCCACAGTGCAACAAGTAAGTGCCTGGCGCTGTCCTTCCCGGAGAGCGAGGGCTGGCGTGTGGGACGCGAGCTGGGGACGGGGAAGCGGAGCTCCTCTTGGCGCATGGGGGTCTGGAGGAGGTGAGGGAAGCCTGAAGGCGAGGAGCAAAGGCTGGGTGCTCTCTGTCAGGTTTGCCGTAGTGCTGGGAATGAGAAACCTTTGGAGCTGCGTCCAAAGGACAGCAGCGGTACCTAAGCGCAGCCGAGAGCACCCAACACACAGCCCTGCCTCAGGCGAGTTCGTCGGCCTCCGCGGTGCTGCATCCCGGCCGCATGACGGGCGGGCGCTGTCTCTGGCTCCAGCTGGGGATATTCCCCCTCTTGCCCCAGCGTTTTGGGGACAGCAGCTCGCTCAGCATGCGATTCACCTCGTTTAGACGGTAGACAGTTGGGAGCACACGCTCCTTTGCCGCAACACGGGCTTCCCCCGGGGCTGGGGAGGCTGGCTCGCCTGGAGCAGCGCTGCAGGGCCTTTGACGGAGGGTCCCTGCTCGTGGGGGCCGCTGGGCTCGCTGGCGGCGGCTGCGAGCTCTTAGCAGGCTGCTTGTCCCTTGCAGGGCCCAGCTCACCAACATACTGCAGCAGATCAAGACTGCTCGGAGGACCATGGCGGGTCTGACGGGGGGCTGTGGGGAAGGGGAGCCTGGGGGGCAGTGAGAAGCCACCCCTGCTCCCTGGTTCCCCGCAGACTGAGCCGTGCGGGGCCTGCTGCCGGGACCGCACAGGGCTCGGGCTGTGCCTCAGGCGCGTCCCTCGGGTTCCCCTTTCTGCTGACTGTGCCGTAGCTCTTGGGAGCAGTTTTCCCCGAGGCGACTTGGGGTAACTGGGCCGTCCTTTCCTTCTGGGCCATTCTGATGTGCCTTGTTTGCCTTGCTGCAGCCTCTCGGTCGAATCAGGGCCTCCATGTTCTCTGCTCCGCTGCCTCAGATCAGCACACCCATGTTCCTGCCCCCGGCCCAGGTGGCTTACCCTGGAACAGCGTCCCACGTAAGAGCTTTTGGCTTTCCTGGAGCGCCTCGCGGTCCCCAGGGAGAGCAGAGGGAGGGAGCCCGTTGAGAGGTGGCAGAACGGGTGAACCGGTGGAGCTGGGGCCTCGCTGCTCACGCAGCATCTCAGGCTGGTGAGGTAGAAGGGAATGGTTAGGGGCTTGGATCCTTCGTGCTTCATGTCGGGGAAGAGGGGAACGGCCGTGAGAGAGGTGTCGGAGGCTCTGACACGGTGTGACGGCTGTGTGCAGAGGGAGGAATCGGGCACAGTGTGGCCCCTGGCTGCAGCTGGCAGGACGAGTAGCCGGAACGTGGAATTGGTGATCTGCGCCGGGGTGGCTGACTGTCTCCTTTCTGTTCCCTCGCTGCTTGTCCCAGACCCCGGCTGCCTGTAAGCTGTGTCTCATGTGCCAGAAGCTCGTGCGGCCTCGGGCACCTCCA